GAGAGAGTAGAATAGGGTTTTGGGGTGTATTAGACTAGAATCATATTAAGGAACCTCAAAGGAGAGAGATTAGAGTAGGGTTTTGGGGTGCAGTAGACTAGAAACATAGCAAGGAACCTCCAGAACCTTATTCTAATTACTAAGGCCCCTATATTATATGATGAGCCACGCCATTAAGACGGTGGTTTTGGGCTTCTTTGTGAGCTGAATGAAAAACAAAAGGGGCAGAGGCGGGGAAGTGGAAGCACTGGAAGAATCCCGCGGCCCTGACAGTGCTTGTTATCAAATCGCCCATACTGTAACCCTCATAGTATCCCTTCAAAATAACTAACCCCTCTAGTATCCTTCAAAAAATTGTTAACCAAGCTTTAAGGCCCCTGCCTCTTGGAAGTCTTGCTTCAGCTCGGACAGTCTGCTCGAAAACTCCGCCTCCGTGCCTTCAGCTCGACCCTCCTTGGCCTTGCCGTGCTCCTCCTTTACCTCGGCCTCTGCACATTCGGCAAACCTGGGCTCTTATGATCACACTGAAAACGCAAGTCTTTAATGCTCATATCCACACCTTGACGTGTTCCGTACAAAACATACAAACCCCTGCTAAAAACGAAACCCCACGAGTTCTGGTAACTTAGGTACACGCACCATCCGGAACGAAGAGGAACCCAGGAGACGACCTAAGCCACCATTACAAATTTCTGGTACACTGGGCCTATAAAAGCACCCTGATCCATCCATGAAGCAAGCTTTACATCATGGAAAATCAGGTACCTTAACGTATTGACCTACAAACTCCTAAACTACCACAGTTATTGTGCCTTATGTAATTACGAACCCAGAATTAGAATACCTAAAGGCCTAAATTACCATATTAGAGTTCCCTATTAACTTACGAGCCCAGACGCTGGTGGGGAAGGAGCTCACGGAGCAGGCCGGACTGGCTCGGAGCTCGCAGGGCGTTGAGAAGCACGAGCCGGGGCAGAATCCTGAGAGTCATCAATGGCCCTTAAGGGTCCCCTTTCAGGGTCCGCTTAAGGGCTCCCTTACAGGAGCCCTACTATAGATTAGATAGGAAGCCTATTCAAAGGTCCCAGAGAAGGGCTCCAGGGTACTATAATTAGATTTTACAGGACTTAAACAGCCCAGTCCTGAACCCCAAGCCTTACCTAAACCACACAGTCTTCAATCCTAAGCTCCCTCATAGTAACCCTAGAGTAGCTCATGATATCCTGATCGTAGCCGGTATAGCAATAGTAACTCCTCGCAACCTCTAACCTGAATATCCGAGGAGCAGGAAGAGCTCTGCGTCCCGGGTGTCAATGAGCCGGGGCAGAGAGGGAGCGAGTCGCTGCGCATCCTTGGGGCAGGAGGGGGTCTTGGGGCCTTGAGGTTGGAGTATCAGACCAGAATATAGTATGAATATATGGCAGGGGTTTTGAATATCAGGCAAGGGTATACCGCATTCGGCTTTGAGATTTGAAAGATGTAAGACTAAGAGCTCGTGCAGCACCTCACGTAGTCTTGATTGCAGGGAGACGTGGTTGCCGGCTCCCATGCATTTCATATTTCAACATACTTTAACACTAAAACCAACTCTTACATAAGCGTGCCGGGCATCCAGAGTCATCGCAGCGCAGCTGCTGAAGGACTGCAACACATCCTGCTTGAGGAGGGAGCGGTTGCCTGGCCAAGCTTCAGAAGAACATGCCATGAACCTCCGAGTACATTCCTGGTCCCCTGATCCTTTCCTGGCCTAGTTCCCAGGCGACTTCCCAGGCGGCGAGGGCGTCCACGAGCTTCCGGTTGTTGCAAAGCTGTGGATCCACCTGAAAGCCGGAGCTAGCTGAAAAAGGGAGTGGAGAAGGGCGAGGAGACATAGTAAGATCGTTGGATAAATAGATGAATAGCCCTGATGCTGCTAGTGAGTGAGTGTGTGTGTGTGTGTGTGACGTGGTGTGTGTGTGTGTGTGTGGGGAACCCAAACTACTACGGGACAGTGCAAGTGAGAATTGCAGGTTGAGACCTAGAGAGTGATCGTGCAGGGGGACAGTGGACATTGTGGAAGGCACTGTCCAACGAAGACCTTTCCAGTTTGTCGTGAAATGGATTGAGGACGCTCAATCCACGTACCTGCCAATGTGTTTGTGACATCCTTTGCAGTACAAGCCGTGCAATGCTACATTCTTCACATACTCGCTGTGCAATGCTTCAGGACCCTTGGCTTTTTCTTCTTTAGTAAACATCAGCAAGGAAACCAGAGCCTATTGAAGCCCCACCGGCAACGCTTTCTTTGAAGTTTTCTCATCGGAGTCATTGAACTCGCTGATGAGTCGGAATTGACCATGAGTGAACATGCAACCAGCGAGACTGGGTGTTCAAGTGTGAATCGGGCATGGCCTTATCCGTCACGGCGCCATTACCGCTGCTCTCGAGGCAGTATCCCTTGAAACAGTGCCCCGAGTGGGACGCGTGATCCTTGGCTAGGTTCCTAAGAGACCTCAAACATCAACAGACTGGAAAGCAATGTCTTGAATCCGGAAAGCACATGCTGATCAAGAGGACCAGCGCAATCAGCTTGAAGTCTCAATGTCTTGAAATACGCTTGAAGTGCATACATGTCCATGCTTAAGCTTTAGTTTGTCTAATTTACTTGTAGAAGTGCAGTGCATGACCCTCGTCTTTAAGCAGTATTTGGTTTGTTTTGTTTTGTTTTGTTTCGTTTCCTTTTGGTTGCGGTAGGTTTTGTTTCTAGTAAGTAGTCCTTAGCAGCTGCGCCCCACTGCCATGGAGATTAACATCCAGATCAAGAATGCGCAGCCCGAAGACTTACTGCAGGCGTTTGCAGCATTAAGTGGAGGAGCAGCATCCTCAACGACAGCGGCACCTCCAACCTCAGATCAAGAGAGACCGCCATTGAAAAGAATTCGCAAAGAAGCCCGCACAACGACGGCTGCCACAAGGAGATCCCCGAGCTTATTATTCAGTCAACAGGAGCTCCAGGCACTGCAGGCGGCGAACCCACACGGAACAACGCAAGACTCCACAGCCGAGGATACCGAGCAGAGTGCAGTTGGATCTGGTGCCAAGGCAAAGCGAAAAGCTCAGCCATTCTCGGCGTTCCGCAAGCATGAGGGACGCACTATGTCCCCCCGTCCCTACTTTCAGCGAAGCGACCAACTTGGAGCAGGAGAAGCCCCGCCTATGCCAAAGCCGTCATCTTCGTCGGGATTGCCCGCGCTACCACCGGTGCCATTACAAACAACGGCAAGCGCAAGACCCGCCAGACCGCTGCTGGTGAAAAAGAGAGCCATGGACTCCAGATCTCCAAGACGCAGTCCCTCACGAAGGAGCCCTAGCGACTCAAGGACCACCAGACCGCGGGCGATATTAAGATCCAGATCGCGCACTCCCATGACAAGATCCAGATCTCACGCTCCCAGGACAACATCCAGATCGTACGCTCCCAGGACAACATCCAGATCTCATTCCCCCAGGACAACGCAGAGATCCAGGGCATCGGGCCTCAGCAACACAGGTACTTTGGCAGCACCAAAGACACAGTCGCAGCGACCCAAGATCGACCTCAAGCTGTATGAAACTCCGCGGATGCCTTCAACTATTACATTCCACAAGAACCTTAGGCAGTTCAAGGTCAACTGGAAGGACATTGAGATTCCACAGTTTCCCATACACGACTCCACCAAGCAGTACGTGGATGCACTTTGCGCTGCAGCGGAGTTCAGGATCGACCAGGGAGTTCTCTTGGAGCATGACCTCACGTGGGACAGAGGAGGCGACCCAACTCCAGAGACAATGAGAAGATTCTATTTCTTGCAATCTTCAGACCTCACCCTGCAAAATCCTCCTCTACCAACTCGGCAAGAAAAGATCCTATTCTGGTCGCATGCAACAGATGTGGGAGCGTTATTCAACATGTTGAAAGAGCGAAATATGCGTCCGATGAACGCGCATGGAGTGGCAGCCTTTGGATGCAACATCTTCTATGCCCTCGGCCACGAGATGTCCGGATCAGACATCGACGAGCACAACCTGACCAGGGTGATCTTCAACACCACACGGAGCGCCAAGAACCTGGCAGGCATCGTCGTGGGAGGCCGTGCATGGGGATCCCTACGCAAGCATCTTGGCGGATCCTATGAAACAGCTCGGGCAGCCACTGAAGAGGGCGAGGTGCTCAAGGATGCGAATGCAAAAGCTTATTGCGTATCTCGCAACAGATATTGCTTTACATGCATTGCGTTCGAGCAGCTGATGACACCGCCTTCAACAGCCAATACGCTCATCTCGCAGTACCAGAAAGCTGCAGGCATCACTCCCCAAGGAAGAGCCAGACTTTCGCTCATCTAACAGAGCATCCACGACAGCACCACGAAAGCTCCTCCTGGACATCCCCTTCGGCAAGTACTGCAAATCTTCTAATGGCTCAGTGCCGACACCGACTGCGACGCCCCAAACAGCATTCTTCGCAGTAAAAGACACACATGAGCTCCGCTGATTCTTATGATGCTGCAAGATTTTTGGACTTTTGTTGTGCCTTTACTTTTTCCTTAAATTCCTTTGCCTTGAGTGTTCAGACGGTGCCCCAATTGTTAGATACCCCCATACGCAATGGCGAATGCATGGACCGGCTATTGGTCTCAGGGAGCATCGAATATGCCGTGGTGGGCGTCAGGCAGCGGGAGCGCGTCGAGCACACCAACTCCGGCACCCTTGCCAGCGACAACACCGTTGCCGTCGTGGCCACCTATGCCTCCGCCCGCATCCAGCCCGGCTACACAACCTTTGCCGCCGCCGCCGCCACCGTGCAACACACAGCCGGAGCCAGCCAATGCAACAAGTACACCGACGACATCGGCAACCACGGCACGGGTACCACTTCCCAGTCAGTTTTCAGAGGACCCAGACCACTATGATACGAACCTTGTATTCAAAGCAACCTTGAAGAGGACAATAGAGCCAACAGCTTGGAGCCGTGCCAAAGGACTTGCAGGCATGGACGTCCGTGATGTCACCGTTGCGCATCTTTGCAGGCATGGCATGGAGGAATTTGGACTTCGAGGACTTTCCCACGGCAAGTTCACCGGCATGATTCTGACCCGCAACATCGCCGAGAGCGTCCTCCTCTCCCAGCTCCAGAAGAAGCTCCGCGAGAACAACATCGACGTGGATGCCACCATCGACGCCATCCACCAAAGCAAAGGACAAAAAGCCCCTGACAAGGTGAAAGAGGCCATCACCTTTGTTGCACCCCTCGTCGACACCATCATGGATGCCATCAAACCTTGGGCACAGGTGCGCAACTACGGCGCCAAGAACACCGAGGGCGACAACCAAGCAGCACAACGCACGCAAGCTTTGGAAGAGCAGACCGCCAAGTACAAACAACGCCTACGCAGTGCCGGCATCGACGTCACCCCCCAAAAGTCCCTCCCACTGCAAAATGAGCCAAATGAAGGCCCAGAAGCAACGGCGGCACCACCAAAGCGCAGACGCCTCACAAAGGGAGCCATCAAGCAGCGCAACGAGGATATCCTCGCCGAGCCCCACAATGTGATCCGTGCCAGTGGACAAGAGCCTCCGACAAGTATGACATCAATTGCAACTTGGATCACCAACCTCAAGAAGAGTCTCCCCCGAGAAAAGCATGCGGAAGTGGATAATCACATACAGTCCGTACAGACCATCCTCGAAGGCGCCAAATACACCAAGGCCGAGCTACAGGAGATGGCTACGAGATGGGGACTTCCCATGTCCCTCACTACAGCGCCAAAGGCTTCACCCAAAAACCTTCAGCAGCTGATCGCCGCCGTCACCTACCTCGCCGTGTGACACGTGCAGAAAATCCTGAGAGGACCCCTAGCACATCAAGAAAGTGCCAGCATCTTCCAGCAGCTGCAACAGATAGTAGACTGGGGGCAGTTTTTGCTTTTTCATGTTCCTGCTATTAATAAAGAAGTTTTGATGTGGTTAGTTGGACTTATTCATCTTGTATTCACTTTTCATAGAATGCGGCAATCGCCTGCAGCAGAGCAACTAAAAGAGCGACTCCGAGAAAAAGGTGCGGTTCCAGAACTCTACACGTTCGAGAAATTCTCTCAGCGCTGTGCAGTGTACGTCAAACTTGTATTCCCCAGGCTCAACAAGCAAACCTATGCGACTGCTACCAGGGACGCATCATTTTGCTACATCGGATCCACCAACATCACGGTGGCCAAGAGAGAGTACAATAGAGTCGCAAAACTTCGTCAACTACAACAACTCAAACTTCCCAAAACCGAGATCGCCATTCGTTATTGGAACGATTCCCAAACCTACCAGCACTACAGCACCATCCTCCTTTCGCAGCACTCGGAGTATATTGACGCCTGGGCCGAAGAACACAGCCTGATTCAGAGATGGCAGCCCAAGCTGAACTACCCGTTTGTCACGAAGGAGCTGGTCAAGAAGGCGCATGGATTGGTCCCTAAACATCAACAACCACATCTTCGCCACCCACCAGATTCTCTAGGAAGACAACTTTTCAAAAAACTCCGACGAAGAGTACAAGGACAGAGATCCTCGCTTGTGAATGCGCTCCCCAAGCAGGCGCAATTCTGGAAGCTCTTGTACGCTATCTCAAGCGATACCAAGCAAGAATTTGAGGCCTCCAAGGAGCTACGCAGTGGCAAACATGACTCCGAAACAGTTACCCTGCTCTACAGACTCGCCAACCACATGGAGCAACCATGGAGATCAAAAGCACGAGCCAGACTACGAAAAGTCCTGCAGTTCAAGAACGCATCGATCCCAAAGCACAACAAGCCCCTGAAAGTCCCTCTACTTGCACATGCGTCGCACCGCACTAACCTCGAAAAGTACCTGGTACGACTCAGCAGGACACACAGACATGTGCTTATACCATATCATCTACCAACCAAGACGGTCCAGGAGGCAACGCACCCCTCTCTCGAGCGAGCTCTTTGGAACCACAAGCGGAAAGTCACCGATATGGGCAGACACTGGAAGCCTACAGAATGTCAGTGTGCCCAATTCATCAAGCAACATCCGCGAGCACAAGTACACGAAGGACATGTGGTGACGGGCTTAGAAACCTTACAACTACACAGCACAAACCAGATCTTTCAGAACATTGGGGCCGGGAACGCCTTCTACTCCTCCAAGAAGCGTATCAAGAAGCAGCACCAAGAACAATTTCAACGATGGCTCAAGCACCACCAATTTCCTCGAGATCAACGCATCCTCGACGACTTTGACGACTTCTTCGAGCAGGAGTGGAAGCAACACAGACTACAACTTCAACGAGAGCCACGACTCACGCACAGATTAGCAAAGAACATATTGGGCATGATCCCTGATGACTACATTGTGCACAACGAGGACCACGCCAACGCGCACCTCATGATCTACTGCCCGAACATCTACAACCAAGCAGCCTACAACACTTGGATGGACAAACAAACATTCAGAATGCTAGATGCCGACCCTGCCGAGATCAAGCAGGCCATGAAAAACAACACCCCCAAGATCGTCGCCAAGCACTACGCCAAGCTCCTTGACTACGAAAAGCCCCTTCCGTATGGATATATCCTCATGAAACGGAAAAAGAGGTGGGCAAAAGGGAGGACTATTATCGCGTATAGCAATACGTGCATCGGCAAACTGCTGAAGATCGCGGCGCTAGCATTACACCAGATGTTGAGGATAACATGGCCCAACCATTTTGGCGACGTCAGCTCGCCACAACTATGGGAGGAAATACACCAACTCTTCTACAACAACGAGCACCTGTACCCGGAGAGGCACTTGAAATTTCTCAACCACGATCTGGTCGGCTTCTTTAATTCGATACCACAATCCGACATCCTGCAGAGCATCCAATTCCTCACATCTCAGTTCCTTGACGAGCATAACGCCACCATCACCGTCGATCCGCACAACAAGATCGCACCAGCGCATTCAGGCCGCTCAACGCACAGCCTGAAGTCCAACATGGTCAAGATGCAGGCAGAGCACATACCAGCCATCATTCAGTTCAGCTTCGACGCGTGTGCTTTCACAGCCATTGGCGAAGTATTCCAACAGACATGCGGCACGTCGATGGGAAACCAAATCAGCCCCATCCTCTCCACGTGCGCAATCGTGGCAACAGAAATCACATGGCTACGGATGTACGGTCAATTTGTCAGCAGCGCCCACCTCCACGACAAGTTCTGGATCCGCAGGTACGTCGACAACAGAGCCATTATAGTCGATGAAGACGAACTTCAGCACAACCCCTTCATTCAGCAGCTTGCGTCCCTGCACTTCTACAAGAAACCAGTACAACTTGAAGACGAAGCGTGTGACGATTTTCTGGGATTTCGCATTCACGCAGACAATCGCAAAATCACGTACAATCTCCATCGCGAGCCTTGGAGATACAGACTCCCTCAGTCAGCCGGAACTACAAAGTTACGCCTCAGCGGATATCACAGCAGAAAGCATCTCATCCGCACCATTGCCTACCCGGAAGATGTTGCCCAGAGACAAATTCAAGAACTGGACGACCTCTACGGTGACTTGGGATATGCGCGCCTTCTGAAAACTCAACAGAGCCAGAGACCTGTAGGCAGTAGCAGGTGCAACGTCTTAGCCCTTTTACTTTGGTTCTTTCAGCCCTTTCAACACTTTTCTTCAGTTTTTTGGTTCAAGCCTTGCGTTGGTACGACTTAGGGCTAATATGACTAAAAAGCGACGTATCAATGGAGCCACAAGCGCCGCAGAGCTCACCGACATCGATACCGACTCCGAGGCCGCAGAATACATCGTCAGATTACCACATGGACTACCACTGGACATGAGTGCACCCGAAAGTTCAACAGCAAAAGACGATCCAGTCGAGCAAGAATGCCAACTACTCCTCCAACAAAGATACATTCCCTTCGAGCTCTTCCCAAGGCTATCCACCCAGCTCAACTCCGAATTCCTCCGAGCTTCAGCACTTACAAAAGCAGGCAGAAGAACAACGTCATATACAGTCGGCGCTTACTACCACGCCGGCAGCACCGGAGTACGCACAAACACGAGGCAAAGACCGTGGACGGCAGCACTCATGGCATACCTGGTACGAGCATGCACCCACACTACATTCTCGACTGTATCGTTACTCCGCAATGTGCACATGCGTACGCACCGAGACAAGTACAACAAACCAGGAAGCCTCAACATTGTGATTCCGGTCTCGACTTTCCGACAAGGACACCTATGGGTTGAAGAAGACGACGGACCTGACCTATCCCCAAATGGACAACATCGCGGTCGCAACCTTGAAGTCAAACTGCCCGGAATCGAGTTCAGTCCATTCAAGCTCCATGGCACGTGCCCATGGAAATCCGACCGCCTGATCATCTCGGCCTACACCACCAACCGCATCGAGGACATTTGCAGAGAAGACAAACGCTACCTTCGCATGCTTGGCTTCAACCTCACATAATTCAATTCAGCACAACGCTGTGGACACAATTCGGTGCCAGAAGCAGGACGAGAATGCAGAAAACAGAGAAGTCTCCACAACGCTTTGCGACTTTAGGCGGTCCCTTGTCTCTTAAGCGTTTAGGATTGTGCCTTAACTGTTTTGGATTGCCGTGTCTCAAGCTCATAAAGCCCTCCAACTATCACTAGTTGATCAGTGACAGCGGCAATGCTCCGTGACCGTGATGCGCGCTACTCAGACGAAGCTGAACACCACGCAGATGTGCCGACAGCCCAGCTCAACAACATGTACCAGGTGGTCAACCAGCTCAGCATTTCACAGCTGCTGGAGTTGGCAGAGTATGTGGCGCGCAGATTGAGGAACGCAACCAGATTCATGTTTGGTGGAGTTCGGTGCTGCATTCCATGCCAACAATGCGAAGCCGCCAGCTATTGCAACCCCAGCTACGTCGTCCAAACATGTGTTCACACATCATACTCGCGAAGTTCGGAAGAAAATCACATATGGCATGGACGGCATCTTTGCTGGTTCCACACGGATTAAAGAGCAGACGCATGCAGCTAGACCAAGTGAGCAAGAAAAGTTTGCGTTTTGGTGCGGTTACAACTAAGGTTTGCACTGTGCCCTGGCAATTTTGTGTTGATTCCTTGAGCGTAGTAAGCCACTTATCTCAAGCAAGAGCTTTTGACCCACCGTCCGCTACCTCGACAAATGCGCCGGGGGAGACGCACATGGGATGGAGAGCGCCTAGAGGAAGGACCACGTCAAGCAGGCCCTTCGCAGCTCGAGACCTTGTACAGCATCGTCAATCAACTCAGTATGGTGCAATTGTTAGAGCTCGCGGAGTTTGTCATCAGGAAAGTGGCGCGAGAGTCACGGTACATGTTCGGTGGCGTCAACTGCACATGCAATTGTCAACAATGCGAAGTAGAACATCGCAGCAACCCCGAGCTAGCCATCATGTACTGCTCCCACACATCGCTTTCACAAAGTTCCGAAGAACATCATCAGCGACAGGGACGACATCTATGTTGGATTCATGACACAGACTAAAATGTGCAGCAGATCAGAGTTCGAGAAAAAGACGAGCGAGCAACAAGCAGTACTCAGTCACTTATTCGGCATGCATGAGCGATCACTTTTCTTTTCTTTCCTCTCTGCGTTTTGGTTCCGTAAGTTAAGGCTTCTTAGTAGTAACGCCAGCCATGCCAAAACGGAAAGCTGGAGAAGCTGGACTTCCATGGTACTCTACGCGGGCTCAATGCTTTCGAATGACAGTGGAAATTCCACCTGACCGAATCTCCAGAGAAAAACATATGTTCCTACACGTGGTGCTTTGTCTTGGAGATACCATACTGCAAGCACGGAAAATCTTTTCCTACCGCATCAAAGAGATCACCGGCAGAGTACCAGAGATTGCAGCGTTCTTTTTCGAGCAAAACCGCCGACGACTACATGACTGGGACCCGGTTACATCCATGGCCACCCTGAAGCCCGTGCTCTTCGTGCGTACAATTTCAGACCAAGAAGTACGGCAGCAGCGATGAAAAAGAAGAGTCCGCAGCCGCTCCAACGGAGGTCAGTGTGTGTGGGGAACCCAAACTACTACGGGACAGTTCAAGTGAGAATTGCAGGTTGAGACCTAGAGAGTGATCGTGCAGGGGGACCTTGACGGGTGGTGGCCCCTCTTTAAAAATTATCATTTTTAATGAGGTTGTGCCTACGGGAGGTGGTTGCTATAGGGCCCAATTACTAGTTATTATAGGGGCTTATTCAGATGCAGTCACAGCCTTTTCACACTTGCATGAAGATCCAAGCACTCGCCCACTCAGCAGTTCAGCCTCAGAAGCGGGCAGGACCGCTACTTGACCGTTGTTGAAAGGAAAGTGATTCGACAATAGGCAACGCTAGGACGTGTCTTTCTAGATGCTGCACCTTTCAAGCGAATAGGCTAAGCACGTGTATGAATATATCATCGTCACCATCGCTACCAAGATCGCCATCATCATCATCATCATCATCCTCGTCATTGTCATCGTATGACCATGCACTTACTTGTATAAGCCTTTAAACAGCACACGGTGCACGTGAGCTTGAATCGTGACTTACGTTACAATCAAAACTGGTCCCGATTAAAGAGGCCAGAGCATAATTTGCCAGCGCCCAGCGGTCAGGAAGATGGAAACCTCGTGGGTTCACAGCAGCAGGTTTTAAACCTAAGGAGGTTGGGTGGTTCGTGGTCGGAGTGCTGCGGTTGTTTAATAGTTTATTCTGAGCTGATCGAGCTTTCAATTAAGCTTCGCGGCTTCGTTAAGTCGGGGGTGGGGGATTTGAAGTACCCCAAACCGATGTTGAAGCAGGAGCTGCTTCGCAGTTTACATGGCATGGTACACGTCAGCCGGCTTTAGCAATCAACAATCTTCACTCAACGAAGCAACTTCATCGCTTTTGATGACCTCGAGTCTGAGTGTGCAAGCCCTCTCTGTACGCAGCAATGACGCCGCTGCCGGAATCACTGCACTGCCAACTTGTCACGCAAGCTCGCTGAGTTGGGACTCAAAAATTCTGGCAGAAGCATGCGAACATCGGGCTCTCGCCTCAAGAAATGTAGAAGCACAAATCGCACTGTCTCGTTCAATGCTTGCAGCACGGGGTGCTGCTCGTGTTCTGAATAATTCACTACGTCAATCGCATTCGGGAACATGATCTCGGCGGTTGAGGCTTCAACCAAAGTGACACCAAAGGCGAAGGACTCGGTTGCCCCCGTGACCCTCGTAGTTGAGCCTTGTCGCCAGAGTTCAGGAGCCCTATATGGGCCCGTGTAAGGCGCTGGCTGCTCAGACTCCTGATTCTCGCTGGGACGGGCCAGTGCATAGCGACCGATCTTGGCCAAGCTTTGGCAGTGGCTCCAGAAGATAGTTTTTGGTCTGATGTCAGCATGCCAAAAACCCAGGGAGTGCAGAAATTGCAGTCCACTGGCGAGCTGCACAGCAAGGGCCTTCAAGTGATCGCCCGTCAAGGGAGACTCCTCCCTTACCCAGGTCTCCAGCAGTGGCAGATTTTCAACAATCAAACAGTTCGCTGGCCTCTCGGCTAAGGGCACTGTCTGCATGACTTGCAGGAACAACTCTTGAGAGACATTCCCGGGATGCTCGGCGATCTTGTTCATGATCTTCACTTCATGCCGAAAATCACACAGGTTTTGGAACTTCAAGGCCATGGCATTGTAGTGAAGTGTCTTGTGGTAGCATCGGAAGCACTTCACGGAGTAGCCACTCCAGAGAATCTCATTCGTAAGTACGAAATCGCCCAGAGTCAGAAGACCCGGATCCTCGGCTGCCGCAGGCTGGACACTGTCGGAGAATTCTGAGTAAAGTCGGTCAACAGCATCCTTGCGTGCACGATGCTCGAGTACTGATTTTTGGTTCCACTCCTCACGAGACTCTTCAGAAAGATTCCTCCAATCGGCACTGATTTGTTTCATAACCTCTCTTTGAGGACAAGCAGAATCTATGTCTTTGAGCCTTTGCTTGACGTCTTCGGTAGAGGAGCTATAGAACAGGGCGTAGCCTGATCTGGCCGCTGGAACCAAGCCCGGGATAAGCCGTGAGCACTCCGCCGCTGTCAGCTTCCATCGCTGCTGCTTGCGAGAACTTTCGGCAGCACCCTCCGGGCATGGCTTCTTCTTTGCCATCTCCTCAACAAAATTTGAGCAATTTGAGCCTGTTCAATTGAATGCCAATACCAGCTCAAGGAAATCACTGCAATTCAACTTCGAATCTCTGCACGGATCTCTGCACAGACTGATAATAAGCAACCGTGCTTACAGACTCCAAGAAATGCTAAACCCCTTAGTTCTCAGAGCTAGGCTGCAATGACAGACTGTCCACGAGTCCACGGCATCATCTCGCGAAGTCCTGCATGCAGGCGGGGGATTTAGCGATCGCTGCACAGGCAGAAGTGAAGAATGCAGCTGCTTCAGTCAATGAACACTTGTGTCTCGGCATGGTTTTTCCACCCCAGGTCATCTTTCAGGCCATCATGCGAGATGGTTGTTGTTGTATAAAATCTACGTGAGCCACCCAATGAGTGAATCCTGAAGCTTGCATGCTCGTACTACAGACGGGCTGGGAGAGCGCTTCAATGCACAGGTCCGACTTTCAGAAATCACATTCTTGGGCGGCAATTGCAACCAACAGAGCCACTAACATTGGCTTCATGGGTGCTAGACTGGCGGCCACGTCTGCAGTGGAAGGGCTCACGAAGGACATATTAAAAAGCTCACCATCCCACTGCTTGGCCATGAAGATCTCCATCGGCAAAATCTCTCGAACGAATGGCTTCTTGTCGGAGCTGTCCTGGGTGGCCGCCATTGCGGGCAGAACGATGTCCTGGCGGATTGTCAGGGCCATATCCACGGAAGCCATTGTCGATAGCACCTTCCGCGACGAGAATACCATCAATGCAGGCATCGGGAGCTTCTGGATCTGGTGCATCATGACGTAGGCATTCTTTGACTGAGTCGCCGAGAAGCCTTCAAGGGCGGAGGGCGTCTCTTCCGGAGCTTTCCAATCCTCAGGCAAAACCACACCCCTCAGCTTGCTGAATTCATCTTCCTCCTTGTTCTCAGGGTCCTTCACAGGCTCAGCGGGTTCCATGGCAGCATCGTCTTCGAGAGGGCGTTTTTTGGATGCTTTTGTCTGCTTTCGATGTCTGTAGGCGGACTTGCCGAGCAGAATGGAACTGAAGTTTTCTTTCTCCTGCTTGCCGGCCTCGCTCAGGATGGCATCGTAGACGGTGGCAGCCGTTGGCAAAGAAGATTCGGTCGCAAAGACCAGCACAGCTCGCCAAGGGCCAGCCATGGACACTCCCCATTCGGCAGCATGAATCAACCGGCTGAACTGTAGCTTGGCCCCTGCCACTTCTTGAGTCAAGTCATTCTTGGAGAAAGCCATAATGTATCGAGGCTTCAGCTGCTTTATCTTCTCAGACAAAGCCTCCATGTTTGCGTAGTCCTTCTTCTTATCGATCGCCCAGAGAAGCAAATCGGGTTTCTCCATAGTTTGACCCTCTGTCGGATCAAGAGTTATGCCCTGTGGTCCATATCTCACCCGCTGCAGCTCCGAAGTTTGGGATAGGGTCATGTCCACGACAATGGTGTCATCCAGCCATGATCCCTGGGACTCCACCTCTGCCTTCAAGCCATGCAAGACACTGACGGTGTCCCAAAGGAAAGATGCCACCCGCATAGCCTTGGTCGTTGCAGCGTCCATGCTGTGACGAAGCATTTGCAGTCGCGAAACAGAACAGCTTAGGCGAGAACCCGTCCCTGCGGCATGACAAACCCCCGCTTTTGCAGAACCGTCTCGCACAGGTCCCACACGGAGTACAACACCATCTTCGCCACAAGACCGTCGAAGGAACCGAAATCACTGATAAGTTTGAAGGTTTACACAAAACCTGCGGATCAATCGCGATTTGACTGATGTGCTGGGCAAGCAGTTCACAGGGCATGCAATGAAACGGAAAACTCCAACCTTTCAGCTAGCTCGCTGCGCCAAATCTCTTGAATCTCGGGCGACAAGGCGCTGGATTCTTCCTACTGTAGTTACTTGAATGTCAGACTGACTGCAGACTGCCAACCAAAACCCAGCACCTTGCAAAACTGAGCCCTGGCCCACAGAGTCACTGTGTGCCCTCACTAATCACTGTAGGACGAGTGATCACTTGGTGCCCGCTTGCGCTTGTTCTCGGATGTCTGAGACGCTAACTTGGCTATTGTCGCAAGAATCGATCCCTTATGGGGCTCCTGGTCACAGATACAACAATGACGGAAAGCATCGAAAATGACTGACACTGACATGGGGAAATCCAAGAACTAACCGTCCTTCGCTGGTTCCGCTGCACCGGCACCCAAGCTTCTCTCGCGGCTCAGGAAGCGTGCATTGTTGAAACCGTCCCGCTTGTTCTGGATCATTTCGAGGAGGATGCATAGGGTCGTATGTTCCATGATGATCAGTCGTTGTTCATCAGCCAAGCACCTAGAGTCTAGTCCAAGGACATCCCTTTGATCTCAGGAAGTTAAACAATGCACAGCCCTGTCTAGGTTTTGCCTCCAGGTCACAACCCTGTGTACTGCACCATTGCCCGGGCTGCTGCCAAGGCCATGACTCCGGTGCCGGGGCTGAAGTCAACAATCGTGGTCACTTCATCCGCAGCAGACTCCTTGACTGCATACAGATTGATCCACTCCCGTCCACACACCTCCGGGTTCTCCAGCACAAGCTGCGGCAATGCTTCCATGGGCTCAGCCTCTGTCTCTGGAACATCCGTCTCAGCTCCAAGCTTCGTGGTGTCACCGTCCTGGGCATCAGCCTCCTGCTCATCCTCAACCGTCACGAAGCCAGAGAAAATGCTGTCGAAGTGCTTGGGATGCATCCTCCAGGCCATCTCCTCCGCGGTCTTCCTGCGCCTTGGCTCATCTCAATGTCAAGAATCAGTTGCTGTGCAAGGCAGTGCCGCTCACTCGTTTCTATAAGGACAAGATACAAACCAGCTATTCCAGTGGCCCGGCTGTCGCCGGGCAAATCGAGGAAACGTCTCTGCCTGGTGGCCACTTTGCCACCCTTGCCAAAAGCCATCAGGACGGTCTCTAGAGGATCCGGCAGGAAGCCTCTCACTCGTGTCTTTCCCAGAGGGTGCTCGGCCATGGAGAATTCTCGGTTTGTGTACAGCATGCGGATGTACCCGACCCCCCTCCTGTGGCACACATGAGGAAAGGGTTTCAGCCGAGCAATCAGTTCCTTCTTCAATATCTGAAAAGATTTGGTGCTGTTCCCCGGGAAGAACATGAACATGTCGCAGGGTCGGAAAGCGCCTTTCTCTGCATGGAAGACGAAGTCGAGGATCTGTCTCAGCATGCTGAGAGGCATGGCAACACTCTCAGCTTTGCATGCACCGAAGTTTTTGGCATCCATCATGTACATCACCTTGCCAGGTTTTGGCCACTCAACAGCGAACTCCCGTAGAAGCTCTTCGTACTTCTCAGCCTTCTTACCCAGCACCTTCAAGTCCACGAAACTCTTCCGACCTTGTTTGTGCAGCTGAAGCAACAAGAAGGCGACACATGCAACTGCGAATACACTGTCCAGAATAAGCCCTGCACGAGTCTCAGCATGGTCAATCATCTGTTGGAGCGTCTCCGGTGACACTTGCTTCAGCAAATCAACCTGAAACTCGGCCAGCACCAAGTGGGGGAATTTTTCCCGCACGTCAAAAACCTTCTCTGGGACCGGTTCCGCTTCCACCAGCACGGCCTGATGCAGCGTGACATGTGCAACCGGAGATTGAAGAAACCCAACCAGGACCAAGCTAAGGTGGAGCCCGCCTCCTCTTCTGGGGGCTTCTCGGCCCCTTTTGCTTCCGACTCCGACTGCTGCCCATCCGCAGGTGCCTCGATAGTGTCATCGGCCTTTTTCTCCTCCACTGGAACCACTTGAGTGACAGCTTCGGGCGGTGTCATCTCTTTCCTCGGGTGCTACACACAGGGCCCCTAAAATTTGCCCAGGATGCCAGCCCCCCCCCCTCCCCTGTTTAGATCAGCATCTCTCTCTGAGCGATCAAGTCCGGGAGGTTTGCAACCTTTGCCATGTGCGGTTGCTGGAGAGCAATCTCTGCCGACATATTCTGATCCTTTTCCACACATTTCTGCAAGGCGTCCCGAACAGTGTCAGTCCCGTCATAAAACTGACGGAGGATCGGCAAAGAGTCACGTTGGTACTCCCGAAGTTGCGACAACCAGGTAAAGTTTCCAGCTTCATCACCCAGGCCGGATGCAAAGTAGTGCTTCCAGGAATAGAAGTTTTTCCAGAAGCCTGCGGCGGATTTCGGGTCTGCATCCTGGCCATCTTCGGGGCACCGGAGTTTGGAGATGATATAGAGGATCAGCCTTCGAGAGAGCAGAGCGACACGCGCTGAGGAGACTACATCGTCTCTGTTTGCATTCGCCGACATCCGCTTGCTCCTTACAGGCAGAAAACATGAAAGTTGCAGAAACCAGACAGCACCGCTGGGCAACATGAAACGAAGACACCACAGGTCAATCGAGGCTCTTAAGCTCGTAGTAGATGTGGTGGACCACGTGCGACAAGAGCTCGTTCTGAAGATTGGTGTTTTTGTCCAGCCGAGTCATACTACAAATCCTGTCCAGGCTCCCAACGGCTGCCAGAGGGTGGCTGACCACTCCAGTCACTTGCTCGCACTCCTCAATGAGGGGGAGCAGATTGGCATCCGAAAGCCTTTGCTTGACTGTGCTCATTGTTTTCACCCCGCTTGCAGCCACAGTGATCTTCAAGCCGGCCAACCATTTGGAGACCTCACCGCCAGCAGTAAATGGCAATGAACATGTAATGAAGACTCGTCCTGACTAAGCCGTGGCTAAACTGCATTCCCTTGCCAAGGTACAGCTGCATCAGAACTGTCTCGACCCCAAGATCGGAGATTATCCTTCATCATGCAGATCCCAAGAACCTTCTTGAAGCCCGTTAAAACAAGGTTATCCGCCATGCTGGTAGTCTTGGATGCCAATGTCCACCGCTGCTTCTCGGCCTCTTCTGGTGTCTTGCAGAGGATGAAGCACACTCGCATTGAAGCTCCAATGGTCCGAAGGAGGGCCAGCTGGGCGTCGGTTTCTGCCTCGATCACTGTGAACCAATACGCAAGGCGATATGCATCGCCATCCAAAGGGCAAAGGGGACCCTGTGGCCTCTCATTCTCACTATAGCACGCCACATGGATGACCTCATCGAACAGCACACCTCCATCAGAGAAAAGACAGGACTGGTGCATGAAATGGCAGATGTGCATGCTTCCGGTGACCCGGCCTTCCCTCTCAAGATCCCAATGTGTGTCCTGGAGGTTGCGGATAGCAGTCCGAGATGGTATCAATCCGGAATGCACAGTGACCAGCGGGTCGATGTCGGTGACCCGAACACAGCACTGGTATTTCTTGTGAGCCTTCATTGACGAACGATAGTCATCCAAGGAGAACTCATGAATACCACCGGCAGATTGGGCAGGCCCTATGTCGGCAATGAACTTTTTCACCTTCTCCGACCTCCGGTGTTGAGCTTCTAACATTCACATGAGGTCACTGCGCAAGTACATACTACCATAGCCAAGCAGCTCAAGACCAGTGCCCAAGGACTGCAGAGTCGGATGCTGCATCGCAGAATCCAGCGGAGACGGCATGATCGGATTCCCTTTTTTCACCATTCGTATCATGATCCCTGAAGATTCAACACGGGGCCGGGCGCAACGAGCTTGCAAGCCGAGCAGACGGAACCTGAACCCTTGCTGAGTCAGTTTTTGCCGATGTCTTAGGCTCAATAACTTCCTGGGAACTGGAGCAGAGGCCCCTCCGGGGGCAAAGCTGCAAAGCACAATTCAAAAAGGCTCATGTAATGAGCCGGTATCGCGACAAAGCAAGGGTCTCTGAAGAGCAAAGAACCACGAGGCTTTCGCAGCCCTGTCACATGAAATGTAAAGCCTTCAGCATGGGCAGCATCGTCAAGGCCAAGGCAGAGCTGGACATCGCTTGCCCCATCACCTCCATACTCTGCGACTGGGTCAATCCATGAAAGGAGTAGCCAGGGAAGCCAAGTGCACTCATGAGCTCGGCAGGCTTCAAGAACCTCAAGACAGGTGTGTTTCAAGGAACAAAGGAGTTGGGAAGTGCAAGGACACCATGGACAGTCCCAGCAAAATCAAACAGGAAGCCGCTTCAGTGCATACGAGTAAAGACGGCTGGATGTGGCCAGAGATGGCAGTGTGCCGTTGATATGAACTCTGCCTCTGGCTGTCGTTTGACCCACGTCTGCCACAGGGTGACAGCCTGCTACATCACTCGAGGGGCGGCTGTGCTCGATGATGAGGCCGTACCTTGCCAGCTCAACTTCCACTCAGAAGTGAACGGTCGCACAGGGCCCAGCACACATATTGTGTCCAGTACTCACACGATTAGTAAGCAGCGGACACCATGATCTGGGCATCCATCCAGGGCCCGAAGTCCGAGAACGTGGTCAAATTTGGCACACGGACATTGCTGGGGAGTCGATTGGCCTCGATAGCCTTGCCCAGTGCCTTCTCCAAAGCAGCTTCATAACGAGCACGTCCTTCCGGCACAGGAACATTGAGAAGAACTTGCACCCCCAAGCACGAGTTTTAGACAACCAAGGCACGTTGTGCCAAATCCATTGCCACGTCGTTGTCCAGACTGGGGGTCTCCTCGAGCGTCGTCTGCAGGCAGGTCTCCAGATGATGCACTTTAGGTGTGGCACCCAAGTACAGCTGCCTCAGATCAGCATATGTGGTTCCACATGTGTGATCAATTAGATTGAGATGTAAATTTAAATGGGTGATGGACACACAGTACCCAAGTTGTGCAAACATGGGACAGCTTCTGCAAATCCTCACAGATTTGCCCCAAACCCACATCGTGATCCTTCCTCACACCGATGGTGTACGTGCGCTTTCGAAAAGATGGCCTGGGCAAAGCGAATACAAAATGACGTGTCGCAGGCACCCGAATGTTTGCAACTTCTAGTATCGCTGCCGAGTGGCAACCGATGCGAAGGTATTACGACATGCTCGAAATCATATGTGCTCCCCAACTCTGCAGCAATGGTTTCCGTGACCCATTGCACAACCGGCACTGGTTTCCCGCTGCTGCAGACGTTATGAATGCCCTGGACATTCTCCAACAGGAAAGCCAGAGGAGTCAGCTTTCCTATCATCTTGACCACAGACTTCAGGACCTGTGCTTCGGGCTTCGATGTGGGGTCCTGGGTCGCGTCATAGCGACTCGGGTTGAGGATGCTGTTCGCCTGGCAAGGGTAGCCTGCAATAAACATGTCTATGTTGGCCTCCGACCCCGTCGGAACAGGACATACCTTCTGGCACTTCAAGCAGTAGTCTTTTCCACGATCGGCTTGCTTGTTCACATCGGTATGCAAATGCAACGGTCCGCCGTTAGTGTTCAGACACGCTGCATGACATGCACTCCTGTTACTGTCGCAACCCAGCACATCAGAGACGTCTACCGCGCGAAGCAGCTCCTTCAACACAATCGAGGGAGCCCCAGACCTTCCAAAGACAAAATGCTTCTCACGGCAAACGGAACTCGGAGCAATGGACAGCAGCAACAAACCAGGCAAAATGAGGTACCGGCCCTGTGCAAGATGTGGCGAACCGGAAAGGCTTCGATGAAACCGACTCTCTGACCCCAAGAACTTGCATGAGCTCCGTCACAAACGACCGCAGGCAAAACTTGTCGTGAGAGAGCATTGGCAAAGTCTCATAGCCTTGCGGAAGACTGGCCACTCTGGCACTAGGTTTTTTTTGAACCTTCTTGACCTTCGTTTTCGCCGCCGGTTGCTTGCCTTTTGCCATGGCGGAGGCTTCTCCTGATGCTGTTAAGCCCAAAATCCTCGGAATCGTTGTTGATTCAAGGATGTGATTCCAAGACGACATGAGCAGGTACACATAAGACAGCCTCGACCCCGGGTTTCCTTAAGTGTCCCACAACGCGTTTGGGTACAGTTAAGGGCTAATAGTTTTGCAGCGTAGCCTCCCTTTATGTATGTCTACGCTGACTTCAACAATTTTACAGTTGTCCTACGGGGCAGTTTCCCCGGCCCTTAAGTGTACCCAAACGCGTTCGAGGACACTTAAGGGAATCCAGCATCATTAGTCTCTTAAGTGTCCCAGCACATCTTGGCTCAGAATAGAAACAACAGAACTGCGAGCAAGCAGGCTCAAGAGTCCACGGATTCCAAAGTGAGAGGCGAAACGGCCTCGGAGCCACATCACTGATCAACATCCGACGCCGTGCTGCACTGAATACTGCGAGCTATCATCGCATGCAACTGACAACTTCACGACACTCTGCATTCTGGCTGACTCGCAGGAAACTGCATGTAGCATTGCACACTTGTAAGTAATCCCACTGAAAAGCCCCTGCTGCGAGAGGGCTTTCACACCTATATTGACCTCGCCTGTGGACCGGGTTCCCCGCAAGTAGAGAACGGCGTTCGTCGAAACCTTGTTTGAAGTTTGAGTGAGGTCAAACAGCGAGAATGCCAATACCGCAGGCTGAACTTCGGAGTCTCAGGTGCACTTGAAACCTGCTTTCAATCTAGCCTGTCCTGCCGCACTACAACTGCCGTGGTGAGTCCCGCCCCGGCCCCTGAGAGCAACACAATCAGCGGGATGTCGCCTGTACCTGTGAAGCTCAGGACACAGTCTGGAATGCACATGTCCAACCGGGCTTAGCCAACATATCCGAGAAACACAAGCCTGGCAGTTCTATGTCGTATTAAGTCTTGACTCTCTGCGTGAAAACATCACAGAAGGAAGCATGGGTCAACAGCAGTCAAAACTGTCGCTGTGGGTAAAGCTGTTTTCACACCCCACGCGCAACCCCGCCCCGGACACAGCCCACAGCTGTGTGTGAAAACCGGCCACATGAAGAACCACAGCTGAGGCAGCACACAATCAGTTTCTGCTTTACACATAGTATATATATATATATATACTTAGCCCAAGTTTCTTATTCTAGCTAGCTGTACCTCTCTCAGAGATGGTTCGAATGGCCTCCCCCTGAATGATCCTTGTCAGGTCTGTCCCAGACCAGAGTGCAAGCTCCTAAAAGCTTCTTCAAAGTCCACGGCACTGGGCCTCTGTCTTGGGCCGATGTCTGTGCATGGACGAAGTTGTCACCACAAAGCTCGTGTGTCAGCGTGGGCGTCTTTACAGCTGTTGAGGGCAGCGGGAAATCATGCACGTCGAGACGTGGAAGCTTCCCCCCGACCTTTTCACGAGGGGCTGTGAGCAAGTGGTTGGCATGTTGCGGATACTGCTCCTTGAAACTGCTGTGGATGTAAAGCACAAGTCGTTTGCCATGCGCCAAAAAGCTTCTGAAGCAAATCTCTTCTGAGCTCCTTTCCCCTGTGCTC